AAATTGTGTGCAGTGAAGGGGTAATGATATGATATTGTGTGGGGTGAAGGAATTACGAAACAATTGTGTCCCGTGCAACCAGGCTTTGTACCTCAATAGTTCATTCACGGGTTATTCAACCACGAGGGCCTAGTCACTTGGCGTACCACATTTTGTTGTGTGACTTTTCGTTTCCCCTTGCTTTTTGGCTGAAGCATTGTGACTGCAAGCCTTCAATCTTGAGGATGATAAGAGGACCTGCAAGATTGAGGCCCTACCTGGTTGGTGGCTCCTTTCTACTGGGAGGGAGTTGCACTTGGGCGTGCTTGGAACGCGTCTAGTGTCCCAAGGATGATAAGAACCCCTTATTTCGTACTAGGGTCCCGACTCGAACTGTGAGACCCAATCCCCTCTGAGCTTCGATGGGCTTACATGGTGCACACACACGTCCAATCTACAGGCCAAAGCGGACTTTCAGAACAGGTACGATTTTTTTCTTTCTTTCAAAGTTGTACATTTTCGCTAGGCTCGGTGAAAATCGGCGTGCCTAGAATTCAGGGTAGGCAAAAGTAGAATTGGACTCGGAGGTAGTGGCTTTTTGGACCAACCTGAGCGCTTGATTGTTACGTCACAATAGACAGGCAGCTTGTTGGGGATGGATAGTGTTCAGAATGCGACCATAGTCTCATCCCAGTTGGAGACTACCACCGACTTAGGTGGGCTACCGGTGGGGGTAATTCTAGTAGGTAGAACAATTTGAGTAGATGGCTGGATAGTAGGTAGGCTATAATAGGGTAATAGGCTCGTTCTGCTTTCAGCCTTGTGGGTTTGTTTTCCTTGTGATGTTCCCTCCCCCCCTTCCCCTCCTTTCCCTCCCCTTCCCTGTTTCTCCAGGTTTTCTACCCCCGCGCCCCCCCATTCTTTTAGGCTTGTCTGACTTGTTTGGTGTTTCCTGCTCTGTGAGGTGGGTTTGGTTGGTGGTGTTGCATTCTTTTGGATTGTGGGGCTTTGTTGCCTTGTCGAGTCCTCTTTTTTTCCAGGGTTGTGGATTGTCTGGACAGCGGCCCGGTTCTGGCCATTGTCTGTGCCTGGACTTCTTCCCAACGCCTGCACCGAAACTTGGGGGGGGGGTAATGGTCCCATACTTTTCCCGGGTTGTTTGTTGAGGGATTCCCGGGTTGCCTCCATTTCTTGAGCTAATCAAGTCCTCAGGGCAACTCCCTTTTTTTTTTTTTTTTTCCTTTCCTTCAAGGAAGACCGTTGAGATACCTTGTGTCTCCCCCTACCCCACTTCTCTAACTCCATCTGATCACGATCACTATTGCCTGGTTGTCTCTGCTTTCTCTCGGCGTTCGAATTGCCTGGCTTGTTACAGTGTTCCAGGTGCGTAGGACTAGGACACCGTAGCTCCATTCGTCATGGAAACTAATCAATTACATTGGGCCTCGTGTCACTCGTGTGTCTGCAGGTAGTCACGACTACTTGCTTTTGCCTGTCCACCTGTGCGTCTTGACAGAGGGAACAAGAAAAAAAAAAAAGGAGGGTCGCACCGAGAGGGGCCAATACCCACCGGTGGAGGCAACGATGGGCAAGTGTTTATCCGATATGGGATGTGTTTTGTGTGAGTTAGTGCGTCTGCGTGTGCGTGCGTGTGCGTGTGTGTGTGTGTGTGTGTGTGTGTGTGTGTGAGAGAGAGAGA